TGGCCTGAACGACAACAAAAGGCAAAAATGGCTTGGCATGGAACGTGTTAAGTAATCGTGACGTTCAATTCTTTTCTAGTTTCGAAGCATATGTATATATAGCACTTGTCCTGCTTTTGATTTCTTTTGAACGAGTGTGCTAACAAATTCGAATCTCGACTCGAGTAACTTTGAGCTCACTCGTTTATTAAAATATATTGTCTTTCGCTTCTTCTTTTCAGAAAGAAGAATAATTCTATTTTAACCAGAGCCACGTGATGTGACCTAAATAAGCAAATGTCTCGAGAGCAATCGATCCGCGAGAGCGGATCTTTAATTCTTTAATACACGTTTCACGTGTAGCGTGTGCACCGCGATTTCGAATGGAAACCCTTTGACCGTGTGTGACGTGCAGAGTAAAAATTACTGGGAACGTTACGAGAAGGGTAATAAATGTTAGCAAGTGTAGAAAATCAGCAGGCATTTACCGAATATAAATGTGAGAAATGGAGGGTAAGAAACGAATTAACCTGGTTAAAGTAACTTGGTTAATAAATAGCCAAATCTGTCTAATGAACGTCACTCTAAAGGGAGCAAGAGTTAGTTTGTACATGGTTTCTAATAATCGGACCAGAGGAGAAGGATCTCAGTATCTACAAAGGAGGAATGTTTAGATTGAGGGGCAGAGAGGTAAATGCTGCGCTGCGATTGAATGAAATCAATTACCGAGATAAAGTTGAAGATTGGCGGGTATCTCGGCTCCTGCCGGTTCATCGGGGCCAGCTTCGATGAGTAGAACTTTCCATTTTTCCTCTTCGCTCAGCCTCCCAGCCACCGTAGCTCCGCCGGCGCCAGCTGTGCATCATTTCGCGAAAAACATAGGAATAAAATTTCGCATTAAAGGCATACGTGCACTCGCGAAACATGTCGTAAAGTATAGAATTTACGCGTGCCCGCGGAAAACATGTAATACATCCAAAGTGACATAACAGTAGAGTGTAAAAATATTTAGTACAACCAATAGTAGAATGGGAAAAAATACGTAGCAGAATCTCTCTTGTTTTTTTTCTGAATGCTGTTTTCCGAATATTTTGTAATCACCAAAACAAAGTATTTGCTAGAAAATCATCTTCTTGTTACTTCGATTATCAGTTCTTTGACTGATCGATAGATTATACATCTAATTTAAAAACAAAAATACAAGCTAAACAGAAATTCATTGTAAGGTGTGTGTACAGTACAGCTTTTTCCTTCGAATATTCCCTCCAAAAAATGATTGAAGTAACAAGTACAATGACACAAAAAAAAGACTAATAAAATTTTAATATTCTAACATTCTAAAATTCATAATATACATATTATACAATAGCTCTTTGTTCTTCGATACTTCGTTCAACGAAACTACTCATACATTGCAATTTGCAAGCAGAAAATAAATAGAAACAAATTACGAATGTTATAATAAACCGGAACAAAAGGTCATTAGTACAACTACTACAACATAGTCATTAGTACAATTAAATCATTAGTAACGTAACATTCTTACTTAATCTCTTTAATTTTAATCGCGTTCACAAGAACACATGTCTCCTTGCTCGATTGGGAGCACACGTTGCGAACCATTTCAGAAGAAAACTCACCGCCGACAACGATGAAATCGTAGCTGAGATCCGGATGCTCGACCGGTTTCACGCGCTGGCACGGCTTGCCGATGTTCGGGTTTGTCACCAGCAATATGTTGAAAAGTGTCAGTAACACTTCTCCGTTGCTCGCCAAGCAAACGTCGGCGAGCTGAGGTCCACCGTAGAAGGGTGCAGCACACTGCGGGGCTGCCATCGGGTATCCCAGCAGACCTGACTGCAATTACCAGCAATGAGATTACAACGGTTGTATATCGCGACGCGCCGACCCAATAAACGGGAAGGGGAGAGGTGGGGGGGGGGAAGCATCGAAGCAATCCGTTTGTCCGGCAGTGACTTTCGCGGGAAAATGTGAATGAAACGAGTGCCAATGTTCAACGTACCATTGCTGTCAAAGAGGGATTGCGGCCAATTACAGACGCGAGAATTACGTGGAGAATGAGAGCTTCGTTCTGCCCGACTGGTTGACCAATGCTTGTTCCTACTCTCTTTTATACTTGTTGCGAACAACAAGTTTGAATGTTTACCGCTATCTGTTGACCATTGAGTGTATGTAACGAGAGTTTTATCATTATTACATCCATTATGTAAAATACTCACGTGTGATATCTTACCTTTGTTTCGCGAATATTAGTCTAATGTGTCACGGTATTGATTACCGGACACCGACATTTTCATTCGTAATACTTAATTTACTGTTGTAATCTCTATCCGTTCTTTTTATTTTGCTAATTCATGTATTATGCTGAAATGAAATATTACACATAATGGTATCGCGTATTATTCATTGTATATTGGCACATTTCTCGTTACCTGGAACGTTGAAAAGCAACGTTTTCGTGCAGTTCCGTATTTTTGCAAACACGATTGAAGAAAAAAAAGGTAGAAATTCCGAGAAATTTATCTACAGTTTATATACTTTCGCGCAGAACTTAAATCCTCCATAAATTTGTGACATTGACCACAATGACCCGTTATTCGATCCTCCGTTTCATTGATCGAGCGATCGGTATGCAAAGATTTAATACATTTGTATATCTCAAACATAATTACAGTAATCACTTAGTGTTCGTCGACGGGAACCACAGAGTGGCTTTAAGATACGAAACAACGGAGAAATTCGCATCATATTGTACTTAATTCACTTCGCATCATTTCACACGTATCGTCGGTGAAATTTCTCAAAGTGACTACTTGCAATTTCGATACATCGTTACGTGACAACGTCGTATTCAAGAATTACCGAGCCTTTCACAAATGTGCACGATAAGCGCATTCACGATATCAGTGTATATCGCTTCGTGAAATCCAATTCGCGTGTTAATAAATAATTACACGGTGAGGCCCCGCGTATCTTGGCTAAACACTTTACTTATATCGCTGAAATTGTAAAACTATCTCTTTTAATAGCATTGCAAACGAAAATTGTTTGATACGAAACGTATTAAACGGTAGTTAGAATCAATTAGTAGCTAATTTCTTTGTTTTTGTTTTAATATTAAAAGGTTCGTAGCTTCGTAACGATAGCATTATCTTTGTAACATTATTTGATCCGAGCGATTTGAAAAAATACAATGATCGCGGAGCAAGGAATTACTCGATTCTCTTTAAATCGGGTTTTAATTCAAATGATGGTCAAGATCGTGTCCATGTACGTTCGATGTAAGTACATACGCAATCAGTGATTCCGAAATTATGCCATTTATTCATTACGTGCTTCAACGACGCGATCCTTCCGCATTTTCTGGCATTGTAAATGATAACGGCGATAAATTTCATTTCTTCACGTGCGAAGAAAGTAAAAAATTACTCGACGCGAGTAAATCTGACAGTGAAACAGATAGTTTACAATTCATGAGGTGTGATTAAGTAACTCGCAAGAATTATTCGCGACAATGTTCGGTTAATGTAATTTTCTTACACGTTGAATGATGAATTATGCGACATTTTACGTCATTCTACGATATATATCAGATAAACAACATTTGTTTGCAAAATTCCTTTTGAATTTCAAAAGATCCAAGCGCCTTGAACGTTCCCATGTAAGACACGTTCATCGTTGTGAAAAAATTAGGTCTTTATCATTGAATCAAAGATAATGTTTTGTACGTTTAAATACTTCTCTCACGGATGACGTTTCGTTCGTAAATGTCGTTTTTGTAAATGAAGTAACCAAGGATATAGCTTGGAATAACTTGGAAGATTTAGTTTATAATTTCTTTGCTGAGAATTTGTATGTACGGGATGATTATTATAGAATTGCTACGTACGAACAGAGAACAGTTGATTTCTATCAATAAATAAAACAAGATTATTTACCAACAAGTAACAATAAGAATATTAATGATATAATTTTATGACTGAAAATCTACTAAATACAGCCAGAACGATCAATTATCAGAGCAGTGAAAGATTTTTGGACAAAATAATTAAATATAATATCATTTGATCATTATTTTGTGTTTGTGCAAAATCAAGTTAAAAATAAAACTGCAATAAAACTTGCAACCAATAAACTAGATACAATAAAATTGAAATATTAATTATTTCTTTAGCTCAAATATAAAATCATCGTTGTATTGAGATAAATGATAAAACTGTAAATGGACAACTTCGATCGATATTACGTCAAAGAATATTCCAAGCTGTATCTAAGCGTTGCACGTTGCCTGCTAATTGAATTTAGCAAGCACAGGTTGTGAAAAAAAGGGAGGACATTTTGGCAGTTGAAGAAACAAAAAGCAAAGAAATAGGATAAACTAAAATTATAATTCAGCCTAGTACCAATTCGGTAACAGCGGTATTACATTTCTTTGGTATATGTTTATATTTCGTTAGTACAATAAGATAGTCGTAATACATTATGCCCGAAGAGTCGTTTGCTTAAACACGTTTCGCTTTAGCGTGATTAACTGAAGATTACGCTCGTAAAAGGTTTGATAATTGTTTGCAAAATACTTAACTGCGAAAAACGGTAATCAAAATCGTTTCCGAATTATTTCTGAATAACGTAGCACGTTACACGTGTCTGAACAGCATGCATTCGATAAAATCTCGAAAGTCCAAAGTTAACACGTACAAATGAAACGAAAGCGTACAAGCGAAATTCATTAGTTAAACTAATTCCGTGCTACGTGCAACGAAAGTGATACAACTCGTGAAGGTATCGTTCTTCAGCAACAGCTTCTGAATTCTTCTAATTAATAGACTGTGGATTTTTGTGGAAATTTGCAGTTCCCTGAACATATATATTGTTCTTTACATTACATACAGATTTCTTTGAATTAAACTTCAATTCGTTGAAATGTATTTTGGATATTTTGTGCGATTCTCTGCATTGTTCCATCTTTCAATTTCTCGTGAATGCATAAGAATCAGAATTCTAATAATCGAATCAAAGAAGCGAAGCAATTTCAAACGATAGTCGTAATTTTAAAACGTATTTTTAAAATACAGCACATTCTTTATCGTAGAAATTAATTCGTCCTCACGATTAATCAATTATAATTTTATTCTTTCTCCAAATCTTCTTTCCGATACGTATAAATTTCTTTCTGCCAACGTTTCAGATAAAGAAATACAAACAAAATGAGTATCGCTAATATATGACATTATGATAATATATAATGTATAACATGTCAATGTATAACATTATGTAACTTGAGTAACAATCTTGAAAATTGTAATTTTTTCAATATTCCATTACAAAGGTATTAAATAAACTAATTCTTGGATTTTGAATTGAAGTAAATAGCTACAATTAATTAAATCTTTTTTCTTGTACGTAACGAAAGTTTTCGTTAGCAAAATTAAATCTTCAAATTGCCAATTTCTCACTCAAAATGTCCATTTATTTTTAGAGAGGAAATTCAAAAGCTGCTCGATCAATAAATACATGTTTAGAAAGTGACTAGAGATTGTTTCCTATATTAAAATGTATTTCGCTTTTCCGTAAACGAGTGACAAATTCACAAAGATAGAACCACGAATCAATTTGTAGACCTAACAAACAGGCGAGTGAATAAGATTTTCGTAATTGGCCAAGAAAAAGAAACTGCGTTCTCCGAGTTAGTCACTTTCATCGTACTTGTGCGATACGTCCTTGACATGGTAATAACGGAAAGGAAAAAAGATAGACAGGAAAGATAGTTGCGAGAAAGAACGAAGAACGTTAAAGTAAGTTGCGGATTTTTATGCATTTAAAAATTTCATGCTTAAATATTCAGAAATATACTCAATGCACGTTTATTGTAATGTCTCAAAGGTGGAAGTTAATTTCTTGAACCGTTCAGGAGTAATGTCAGGAGTTTTAAACTTTTTCACTATCGTAGCTTCAATCGTAATTACCCTAAAACCTTTTATGTCCTGCATTAAATTAACCACGATACTTTTGTTAAATTTCGTATCGTTGAATCACATGTTGCAAACGTAAATTTTCTAATAATTTCATGCATAATAGTTGTACACTAAATTTTTTCGAACGTTACATTAACAGAACGTAGTGTAATGTCTACTAATAGCAGATCAACTTGTAGTTATTAACTATAACATTTTGTTCTGATGATATAATGTTCGAATATTAAGGAATTCAAAAAATTGGTTTAAGTATGTTTAAACACTCTTGTGTTCAATTTGCGTATCATTTTTAGTACCAGAAAAGTAATTATCAATTGTCACACTAAGATGATATAAGCGGTTAGGATATAAACGTTAACATAAAAATATTTAAAAGCATATAACATATAAATATTTAAAAGCATATATTAATAACAGTAATTGGTAGATTTAATAATTTTCAGAGTTTTAAACGATATATCTGCGATATATTGATTTCATCTATTTGTAATTATGAAAATTTATATAATTTTGATTTCATTGCGTATAATTACGTGGTTGTTGTCGAAGTAGTTGTTGAAGTCGCACAAAAATTACACAGACATCGTCCCTGAATGGTTACTGACGTAGACGAAAATTTCTAATTTGCATAAATATTCGCAAGCTAGCAATAACAACAACAATTCACTCAAGTCGAATTCAGCGAGTGTGAATTTTGGTCAATTCTTCGTTCCACAGTATCCGATCGACTGGATTGCAGCGACGATGACGAGGAGAAAGGCTAGTGGGCCACGCTCTTTCGGAGTCGTCTCTTTGGTGACGTTGCGCCAGAACATTGAGACAGCACACAACACGATGGCTGTGTAATTTTCCCTTTCACAAAAAGAAACCCTCTAAATCATGATGACTAGATCGATCGAGGATTCTGGCTACCAGGCTGCCTGGTCCCAGTCGATGTATTTGATGCCCCAAAGCAACAGATCCAACGAGCTGTCGATCGTCGAACGGGAACTAGGAAACATGGCAAATTGCTAGTGACTAATATACGGTTTCCATGACTCTCGGCTCTTCCATACGGAAGATGGACCATGCCCGTACCATTGTGTCGGTGCAGCATTCCAGTCCGACTTGATGAACGCCGCCGCTCTTTC